CTCAGCAGAAATGCCAGATAGTCTAATTAACACCAACTTAGACCTCACCCATTTAGCCAGTTCCACATCTCGTGAAGAATAAAATGTGTAATGTTGGTCATAAATAGCCACCACAATTTGCTTATGTTACAATATTTGCATCTAACAAGGCAACCCAGCTTATCAGACCAATTTTGTGTCAACTGAGACAACTGCTGGTGTAACAACATGTGGATAAAAGCTATGTCGTTTTCTAAACAGGTTAATGCTGTTCATGCTGAGGTTGTATGCGCTCTAAGAGCAGGTGTACAAAAAGGAAATCACCGCAATGTATAACTCAATCCATTTTTTGACGTCGTTGCTCTCTTAAGTATGGCAAATCATTCTAACGCTGGGCAGGCCTCTTGGCAATTTTTCAAGATCAGTAAATTCTATGATTTCTCTAATTTGGCTTGACTTTAAAAATCTCCAGAGAAGCAGGGCACTAAAGTGCAAAGACCAGAGGCTCTGGAATCAGACAGATGTGGGTTCAAATCCAGGCTTTACTGATTAAACAGCAGGTAACCTTACACAAGTCATGTAACCTCTCTAAGCTGCAGCGCATCATCTGCAATATAGGGAACAGTAATACCACCTCCTAGGATTACTATAAGAATCAAATGAGAGAATGTTCTTAGGTAAATCATAACTCAATATTACAATTATCTGTGTAAGGTAGTCAAACTTGCCTCTTAGAAGACATGAAGATTCTCGGTTTAAGATTTTGGCATCAGGTCTAAATAATATTCCTTTCCCTAAGCAAAATGTATCTGCAGCCATTAAAATGGTCAATTTAGCAAAGCACATTAAACAGAACAATTCCTTTTAACAGCAGCATATTTCTTTAATATGCTTTGGCTGCCAAAACTATGAGATCACAGGAGGAGACATCCTCAGCCAAAAACCCATGAGGAAAAGTGGGTAAATGTTTGAATGACACAGTTTAGGAATTAATTTGTGTTTACGTAAAATAATTTTAATTAATAAAGTCTTCCAAACAATGTTTCGGTCTGCAGACAATGAAGAGGAAACTAAAAGTAGCATGGTTCTCCAAGCTCTCTACCTGTCATGTTTGAGACTACTTACAAATTAGGGACTATCTTCATTTATTCCCAGGGCAGCAATACTCTCGTCTATGCTCATGCCTAACCTTTTCAACATATTCTGGCTAATATTAAAAACTGATCCAAACCAATAACCACATTTTAAAGCTAAAGACCATAATCAAGAACAAAAGCTTTACATTAAAAAGTACTCCAAAGCCTGGTTTCATATATAACCTACTTTCGGAGTCTAAACAAGGGAATGTAAAGAACTTATTTTACCTTTCCCATTTTTTGTTTGTGTATCTTCATGAAAAAGACTTTCTTAACCAGGTTCCACTAGACAGAACATATCTTTTGACATTATCTTGGAAATAAGCACTTGCCAAAAATCTTACTATCTCTTAATACTTGTTACATGTCCCTTTTGGCATATTACTTCACCGTCATATACAGTTTGTGCCAGCAATTTCTCCTCTCCTTTTCTGGGGAGGTCATATGGTCAAACAGCATTCATAGAATTACTGGAAAGTCATTTTGCTTTCCCTAAAAATCATTCCACAGAGTAGATATCAACTCTCAGTAAGTACATACACATATATACACAAAAGAAGAAGAAAGACAACACAGCACAACCCTCTGATACGAGGGCTTGTAAAAGGCCTATCTGTAGTTAAACTTTAACGTAGCTAAATTCCTATATAATCCAATGGATAGTCAAAACTGCTATGACTTTCTGCTTTTCAAGCCTGTACACGCGCGCGCGCACACACACACACACACACACACACACACACACACTTCTGAAAGCAGCAGGTGAGTCTTGCTGGCCTGGCCTGTATGCATGAACACCCGGGGAGCTTACCATAACTGTGCAGTCCTCTGATCCGCTGGCAATGACCTGATCGTTATGTGGGCACCAGTCTATGTCCAGCACTGGTCCTGTGTGGCCACATACTGTAGGGTAGGATTTGTCAATTCGACCAGTCTGAAAGAAGACAGAAACAAACCTATTATGTAGCATCAACATCACAGACTAAAATGTTTTCTCAGGCCCAGTTCTCCTTTATACCTCTCCCCAAAACTCTCAACTGTCTATGTATGATGACACATGTATTAGTCAATGTCAACTAGTAAGACTGTATGTAAACTTTCATTTCCAGAAAAAACTACTACCAAGGACACTCCATCAAATTACAAGGATCCAAATTTCTACAACCACAAAGATTTTATTTAATCAACTGCATTAACAGACATAGCAAAAGAGAACACAAGTCTTTTTATCAAAATACAATTCTAAAATACACAAATTATAAATTACAGAGATGTTTTTACTGCATAAAGAAACAAACAAACTGAAGAAACCCCAAACCTTGGTATTCAAAATGTGAAATATACCTCTCAATACAATAAGACAATATCTTTGAATATACAAGTTAACAGTTCTGGAAGTGGATGGCGCTGTTAAAGTAAAAAAAAAAAATAAAAAATAAAAAAAACAGTTAAGTTAAAAAAAGAAAAGCTTCAGTTATTGCTTAGGGGCTAAAGGGCATACTATACTCTAATGTCCCAGTCTCTCCACCGTCTGCACTCAGCAGAAATGCCAGATAGTCTAATTAACACCAACTTAGACCTCACCCATTTAGCCAGTTCCACATCTCGTGAAGAATAAAATGTGTAATGTTGGTCATAAATAGCCACCACAATTTGCTTATGTTACAATATTTGCATCTAACAAGGCAACCCAGCTTATCAGACCAATTTTGTGTCAACTGAGACAACTGCTGGTGTAACAACATGTGGATAAAAGCTATGTCGTTTTCTAAACAGGTTAATGCTGTTCATGCTGAGGTTGTATGCGCTCTAAGAGCAGGTGTACAAAAAGGAAATCACCGCAATGTATAACTCAATCCATTTTTTGACGTCGTTGCTCTCTTAAGTATGGCAAATCATTCTAACGCTGGGCAGGCCTCTTGGCAATTTTTCAAGATCAGTAAATTCTATGATTTCTCTAATTTGGCTTGACTTTAAAAATCTCCAGAGAAGCAGGGCACTAAAGTGCAAAGACCAGAGGCTCTGGAATCAGACAGATGTGGGTTCAAATCCAGGCTTTACTGATTAAACAGCAGGTAACCTTACACAAGTCATGTAACCTCTCTAAGCTGCAGCTCATCATCTGCAAAATAGGGAACAGTAATACCACCTCCTAGGATTACTATGAGAATCAAATGAGAGAAGGTTCTTAGGTAAATCATAACTCAGTATTACAATTATCTGTGTAAGGTATATAAAAAATTTAATTACAGTACCTGGACTATAATAAATACTCAATTAAAAAACTGTCACTATTAGTTAGTTCTTCTGATATAATAATTAACTCCATTATTAAGAATTAACAAATATGTGTTATCTGTGAACTTTTAGCCAGACACTGTGCTGAGTGCTGGAGATATAGACATGAACAGGGCAGTCCTGCCCTTGCTGAGCGTGGAGTCCAATGGGAGAGAGACATTTAAACAGCCAATGACAGTGCAGCATGAGACATGCTCCATGAGGACACGCACAGGGGCAGAGAACACAGAAGAAGGGCCCTCAACCAGGCTTATGGGGTCATAGTCTTTAGGAAGGTTTTCTGCTGAGAAAAGTGAGTTGTAAGTTGAGGCCCGAAGATGGGCCTGTCTAGACCAAAGGCCTAGGCTTCTTCACATCCTCCCCTTTTCCCTTGCAAAACTAATTAAACCCAGCTTTAATATCCTGAAATCCCTCACCAAAAAGGGACTTAAAAAAAGGAAATGTCAATGAACACCGTATTAAATGGAATCTAGGTGTATTAAGAAGGAGCCAAGGCCAGGCGCGGTGGCTCACGCCTGTAATCCTAGCACTCTGGGAGGCCGAGGACGGCGGATTGTTTGAGCTCAGTAGTTCGAGACCAGCCTGAGCAAGAGCGAGACCCAGTCTCTACTAAAAAAAATAAAAAGAAATTATCTGAACAACTAAAAATATATAGAAAAAATTAGCTGGGCATGGTGGCGCATGCCTGTAGTCCCAGCTACTCGGGAGGCTAAGGCAGTAGGATTGCTTGAGCCCAGGAGTTTGAGGT